TAGTGGTGGCTTGTGAATGGAGGAGGGAGCTGGGGAGGTGACATTGAGAGCAGAATGTGAATTTGTATGTGCTGCTTAGGTTTTGTTAATTCTCATAATAATGGACCATTCTCCAGGCAGATTAGCATGGTCAGGGACACCAGCATCATGCCACTGCTCTCTGCCCCTTCCCTTTTGAGGCAATCGGAACTATGTTATAAGAACTCTTGGCTTCTTTAGTGTGGCTGAAAAGGCCCAGATGAAATGTATCCTAGAATATTAAAGGAGCTGATAGAGGAGGTACAGGCAGTCCCCGGGTTATGTACAAGATAGGGACTGTAGGTTTGTTCTTAAGTTGAATCTGTATGTAAGTCGGAACTGGCGTCCAGATTCAGCCGCTGCTGAAACTGACAAGCGGCTGACTACAGGAAGCCCGAGGCGGAGTTGCTCTGCCCCGGGCTTCCTGGAATCAGCCGCTGATCAGTTTCAACAGCGGCTGAATCTGGACGCCTGGGACAGAGCAGCTGGGGCGCTGCCGGTTGGTCCCGCAGCGCCACACCTCAGTGCTGCGGGGACCTACCCGGCAGCGCCCCAGCTGCTCTGTCCCAGGCGTCCAGATTCAGCCGCTGCTGAAACTGACAAGCGGCTGACTACAGGAAGCCCGAGGCGGAGTTGCTCTGCCCCGGGCTTCCTGGAATCAGCCGCTGATCAGTTTCAACAGCGGCTGAATCTGGACGCCTGGGACAGAGCAGCTGGGGCGCTGCCGGTTGGTCCCGCAGCGCCACACCTCAGTGCTGCGGGGACCTACCCGGCAGCGCCCCAGCTGCTCTGTCCCAGGCGTCCAGATTCAGCCGCTGCTGAAACTGACAAGCGGCTGACTACAGGAAGCCCGAGGCGGAGTTGCTCTGCCCCGGGCTTCCTGGAATCAGCCGCTGATCAGTTTCAACAGCGGCTGAATCTGGACGCCTGGGACAGAGCAGCTGGGGCGCTGCCGGTTGGTCCCGCAGCGCCACACCTCAGTGCTGCGGGGACCTACCCGGCAGCGCCCCAGCTGCTCTGTCCCAGGCGTCCAGATTCAGCCGCTGCTGAAACTGACAAGCGGCTGACTACAGGAAGCCCGAGGCGGAGTTGCTCTGCCCCGGGCTTCCTGGAATCAGCCGCTGATCAGTTTCAACAGCGGCTGAATCTGGACGCCAGTTCCGACTTACATACAGATTCAACTTAAGAACAAACCTACAGTCCCTATCTTGTACATAACCCGGGGACTGCCTGTATCTGAGCCTTTCACTATCATTTTTGAAAAGTCATGGAAGTTGGGAGAGATTCCAGACGACTGGAAAAGGGCAAATATGCTCATTTATAAAAAGGAAAATAAGAACAACATAGGAAGCTACAGACCAGTCAGCTTAGCTTCTGTGCCAGGGAAGATAATGGCGGAAATAATTAAGAAATTCATCTGCAAACATCTGAAAGATAAGAAGGTGATAGGTAACAGCCAGCATGGACTGTCTGGAGAACCGTTCTCAGAGAGTGGTTATTAATGGTTCACAGTCATGCTGGAAGGGCATTACACATGGGGTTTTGCAGGGGTCTGTTTTGGGATCAGTTTTGATCAATATCTTCATCAACGATTTAGATATTGGCATAGAGAGTACACTTATTAAGTTTGCAGACACCACCAAGCTAGTAGGGGTTGCAAGTGCTTTGGGTCATAATTCAAAATGATTTGGATAGGGCCATAATTCAGAATGATCTGGACAAACTTGAGAAATGGTCTGAGTTAAATAGAATGAAGTTTAATAAGGACAAATGCAAAGTACTCCACTTAGGAAAGAACAATCTGTTTCACACGTACAAAATGGGAAGAGACTATCTAGGAAGGAGTACTGCAGAAAGGAATCTAGGGGTCATAGTGGACCACAAACTAAATATGAGTCAAGAGTGTGATACTGTTGCAAAAAAAGTTAACATGATTCTGGGATGTATTAACGGGAGTGTTGTGAGCAAGACACGAGAAGTCATTCTTCTACTCTACTCTGCACTCATTTGGAGTATTGTGTCCAGTAGCGGGTATCTCATTCAAGAAAGATATTGAGAAATGTGAGAAGATCCGGAGAAGAGGAACAGAAACAATTTAAAAACCAGCTCCCCTTGGGGACCAGCTGCTTGTCACACCATGCTGCTGCCTCTGATACAGAGGCAGCAGTCCTTATCTGCAGGGGTTGGTCTGAGCTCCCAGATCCAGTACGAAGCAGAACTGAGCTGGACTGCCTGCCCACCCAGCTTCTAATACACTTTAAATGAAGAGCTGCAGCAGGGGTAGGTCCTGGACCTGGCACAAGCTGGGATTGAGTGAGGATGCTGGCCAGCTGGCTAAAAAATTTACTTCGGGTGGCGGGGGAGAGGGAATGCATGTAGTCTATAGCATTAATCAATAGGCATTTGCTTATCTGTTAATTGACTGTATTATTACATCCTTAGATTAATAGTCTAGAAAACATCACCTATGGGAGAAGACTGAAAGAACTGGGCTTGTTTAGTTTAGAAAAGAGAAGTCTGAGTGGGGACATGATAGCAGCTTTTAAGTATCTAAAACAGTGTTACAAGGAGAAGGGAGGAAAAATTGTTCTCCTTGGCCTCTGATGATAGAACAAGAAGTAATGGGTTTAAATTGCAGCAAGGGAGGTTTAGGTTGGACACTAGGAAAAACTTCCTAACTCTCAGGGTGGTTGAACACTGGAATAAATTGCCTAGGGAGATTGTGGGATCTCCATCACTGGAGATATTTAAGAGCAAGTTGGATAGACAACTATCATGGATCATCTAGATGGTGCTTGGTCCTGCTGTGAGGGCAGGAGACTGGACTTGATGACCTCTCCCTTCCAGTTCTAGTATTCTATGATTGATATTAAAAAAGTAGTGAGATGAAGTTTTCTACCTTCTTCTGCAAACCAGGCAGGATTCCTTTTGGAAAACGAAATCTGCATTTCTGTATACTTGGTAAGAAGGAGTTGATTTATGAAGGCATTTCAAGAACTTGAGTTTTGTCAATTAGCTATTGGGTAACTACATTGTTCTCCTGACTCCTTAATAAGCTTTTGGAACACTGTTTTGGTTTTGGAATAGTACTAAACCACTAGATCAGTATTTGCCGTACCCATGTAGTCCATAGTGAAGTGACAATCTCTTAGTGTATATGCTAGGGTCATCTCTTTGTTCTGTTTGCACAGCATCTACCACGTGGGGTCCTGCTCCCTTGATGCTCTGTTAATACAAATAACAACTTGCGTTTTGAGAGATTTAGAGCTAGGGGAGGGTGATTTGAAGTTGGAAACTTTAACTTTCTCAGTGGGAGTATAAAGCTGACATTTAAGTCAATATATTCTATCCAAGGGCTGCATTTACACATATGGCTTCAATAGCCATAACTCTGTAAGCTGTAATAAACCTAGAATCTCTCTGTTTAAGCTGGAAAGGGAGAGAAAGTTCTTGGCTCCTTTCAGGAATCTGTCGTGGAAGGTGGAGTTCATTATAGATGCATGTGAGATGTGGTTTTGTAATTCATTGAGGGTGGGGGGAGAAAAGAGAGGTTCAGGCACTGGACTAGGACTCTGAATGCCTGACTTTAGTTCCTAGTTCTGCTACAGAGTCTTTGTGTGACCTGGCTAAGTCACTTAATTACTGTGCTTCAGTTTTCTGCATCCATAAAATGGGGCAGTAAAGTTCCTTTTTTCAGTCATTGTCTGCATAGGTTATAAACCAGTGGTGGGCAAGAGGTGACTAATGGGCCGGATGCACCCCACAGCCACCTCACCAGCACCCCCTCACTGCAGAGCACCTGCAGCTGCTCCAAACAGCAGGTTATAGTTGCTATGAAGTCTGGGCAGGGAGGAGAAAGCTTTGTATGCTGTCCCTGCCCCCTAGCAAAATCCCTCCTCTCCCATTGGCCAGCTTCCAGCCAATAGGAGCTAAGAAATTTTGCTGATGGCAGGGGCAGCAAATGAAGTCTTCTCTCTCCCCCCCTCCCCTCCCTCCAGAGCAGAAAGGCAGAGGCAGAGAATGACGCCTTCTCACTTCCCCTCCCTGTGCTGGAGCAGAGTCATATGGAGCATCCCTCCTAGCACACAGGCAGGGAGGCTCAGGTTCCTGCAGAACTGCTGGCTGGGAGCTGCCTAGATAAGTATCTCCCAGCCAGAGCCTGCCTCTGGCACCCTACCTCCTGTTTTCCTCCCCCCCACAGCTACATGCCCCAGGACACTATCCAGGTCCTCTGTATCCCCTCTCCCCACATCCTCCAGGTCACAACACCCTCCCAGACCCTTCACTCCCTTCTGCAGCCTTCCCCCAGGCCAGAATCCTCTCCTGAATCCACAACCACTCCTGGACCCTGCACTCCAAGCCTCTGCCCCAGATTACAATCCTCTCCTTCACCCAAACTCCTTTTTATACCCCACCCACTATCCCAGACCCTGCACCCCCTCCACAGAAATGCAGCCTTGACACCTTACCAAAATCTTGGAGTGGCTCTCTTCTTCCCCCCCCCTCCCATTGAAAAGTATTGCCCACTTCTGTTATACACCCTTTGGGGATTAGACTCTTATCATATATTTGTATAGCTCCTAGTACAGTGGTGCCCTAATCTCAGGTGCTGCTGTAATACAAATGATACAAATATTACAAAGATGGAGGAGTCTCCTAAATAACTCATAGGAGATCTTAGCCCTTTAGGATTTGTTCTGTGAAAAACATTAATTCATCCAAACCTTTGTGAGGTGAAGATTCAGTTACTGCAACAGGTTTGCCTGGGTTAACATTGAAGATAAATGCTTTTTCATGACCTAAGAGGTAGAGAATGCTACTTGGCAAATTAATCCCCTGGACACGACTAAACTTCATTCCTGAAAAATGTGCTGCTTTTTAGAGTGAGGATCAAGAAAAATCAGTTAACGCAATTCAGAGGAGGCTGGGAAGGTGACTTGGAGAGAAGGTTATATGTATCTTTTACATATCTGGCACCCGGTACAACTTGGGTTTTACCTTTGGTTTTCAGAGGAAGTATTATGAATGTCAGGGGTAAGTCCTATCTGGCAGGGATTACTTATCAGTGCCCAGACAGGAAGTGTAATCCATTAGTGGCAAGGAACTCAACCTACGCATCCCTTCACAGGTGGTGGTGATAGAATTTTAACCAGGGACCTCCAACACATCACTACTCTCTGAATCATCTACAATATGTTGCGGCATCTTCTGTGTGCTCCAGGTACAATTCAGCTTTGAGTGAAGGATGTGCTGGGACTTCTGACTTAGACCCAGTCCCGCAACCGCTTCTGTGGAGACATATTGCCACTGAAGTCAGTGGGGATCTGTACAGGGCCTAGTCTGTATAGAAAACTTCCCCTTGTGCCTAAGTAAATAAAGATAGTTAGGAACTAGGGTTATCAGATGATTTCAGAAAAATACACTTGATCTCAGAGTGGGGTGGTGGTGGCTGGGAGGAGGTTGAGGGGAATGGGGCTGGCCGGGGGAGATTGGCAGGGGAACTGGCCGGCGGGAAGCAGGGCTGGCCAGGAGGGGGTCAGGGAGAGCAGGGCTGGCCCGGGGGGGTAGGGAGGGAGAGAGGGGCTGGCCCGGGTGCACGCAGATCCTGGGGTGCTGCCTGTCCCGTTCACGGTCCCGGCGGGGATTTCATCCTACCCTGCCCCCACCCTCCTCCTCTCAGCTATGTAGTTGCATACTGTCTGGCTGGCAGACACACTCACGCAGCATGAGCATGTCTACCAGACAGGCAGTACGCAACTATACTGATACTCATGATAATAATAAAATGTATTTAATTAGAAAATACCAAACATTTATATGTCCGGTATTTTCTCAATTTGTTTCCCGGACAGAAAGCTCAAATACCGGACTGTCCGGTTCAAAACCAGACAACTGGTAACCCTAGGAATGGCAAGTGCTTTGAATCTGAGAGTGTTTTTGCCAAACAACAAGTTATGGCCATGTGAACAGGTTTAAAAAAAAAAGTATATGCAGAAGGCTGTGATTAAAAGTTTATGCCGAAGGGGTGCCTGCGGTTGCATAAGATGAATGTTGATCCTTCTGATGTGTTTAGAGACCTCTGGAGCAGCAGAAAAGTGAACGATAGTGCAGGAGTGGTGGCTGTGTGTATTCATTACAACTGGAGTCTGCTCCAGTACAGAAATGGATTGCCTTCAATTTTAAAAGTCACTCCTGGTCATCTCTCTGTACCTACACAGGCTCACCCTGTTACCACAGCAACTAGCAATAGCTGATTTACCATGCTGTTTTAAATGTCTGCATTCAGAGAGAAGTACCCTATGAATCTCAGCCCAGTGACTCATCTTTGCAGTCCACTAAATGTGCTTTTTGCCTTAGTGTTCCCCAATGTTTCTTTTTAAGATTACATTTTCACATCAGAATTGGACATCTATTTAATCTTCTCATGTTCCTTGGCAACAATAATCTCAGTTCTAGGATGTTTTTAGGATCCCATTTTATTTTGTTTTATTAATAGAAAGATCCCATTAGCAATCCTTGTTCAACCTGTGGCTTCAACGGTTTCCGAGATTTCTGAAGGGTATGAAAGTAAGTTTGCAAAAGTATTTAAAATGTATTAATTCCTGGGTGATGGATAAGAAATACACATTTCAAGTTCATGGTCTATAAAAACTTGGCTAGAAGTCAAGGTTTTGTATTCAGTAACACAATGCTTTGTATAAAAAGCTCAGGGTTCAGAGTTCATGGTTTCAGAGCCAGGATTTTGATGAACTGTATTTAACTTTGTTAGTATTTTGTGTGGAGATTGTGAGAATTTCTACCTCTGAAGTCCTATGTAAGGGATGGTATACATTTTTTTTACAGCACTTTAACCCTTAATTTTGTGAGGGTGCAAGATAATAGGATTAGGCAAAATCTGACAGGTTTAATCCTACTAAAATTACCAGCACTGTTCAGAATATCTGTGCAGTGTTCCAGTACTCTGATTATTTTTCACACTCATGGGAGCTGCCTCCATAGTACACTGTTGGAAATCCATTCTCTGAGGGATTGCAATTGTTATGTGTACATTTGCGCATATAGGAAAGCAAATTAAATTCATAGTCTACTTGTATAAACACCTAGCATAGCCGTGATTTGTTTAGCTTCTAAGACCATCACAATATCACCATTTAATAGTCACTTTGAAATGCCCCTACTTGTGTTAATAATAACTTTATATTAGTAAAACAAGAGGTTTTTAAAATATTATTTTCAGCATTTCACTGAGCCTTTCTGACTGAACTGAATCATTTAACTTACTAGTGATTTTTGTTTTCTGTTTATTACTTTGTTAATTTGTAGACTTCAGATGTCATAGGATGGATACTCTTCCTTCAGAAAAAACCCTCTCTCTGTCAGGGAGAGGCCAAATTATACAATAAGATATAGATATAGATTTATTTAAGTTTTTGGGGTCAACATAGGCAGAGTGTCCCTCTTAAAATTCTGCGTGTACATCCAACATTGCAAAAATTAGCACAAATCCATTCCTGTATTCTACAGCTTCCTTTATTCCCTATATTAAAACTTCACAGCTGGCAAACTGGGTTTTCCCCACAGCTCTGTTAGGGACCCTGGATACCAATAACAGGGAAGCATCCCCAACAAAGCTAATGAGCAAAAAGAAGGCTAGAGGGAGGAGTTTCTAGATTTGTGTTATCAAGAAGAAATTTTAATTGAAACATGTTTTGTGTCTTTAATAGAATTTGGTGTCTTGGCAAAGCAGTATCTAGAGCGAGGCCTTTTGGTACCGGATAATGTCATCACCGGTGTCGTCATGATGGAGCTGGAGAAAAAGCAGTCTCAGCATTGGATACTTGATGGTAGGTAAACTCATGTGCATGATTTTGGCATCATGGGTGCATCTGTCTGCTCTGGTAGCTCTTTGTGGATTGAAAGTACCGGTCTTCTTGAGGCCTATTTCTTTTAATAAGATATTACTTTCCCAGGAACACAGGAAAACAAATAAAACCAAGTGTAGCCATTGAGTATTTTTAGCAGCTAGGCAGGGGCGGAGGAGAAAGCAAAAACACTTCTGAGAGTTTTTAAAGACAGAGCTGTTCAGGGCTGGCCTCCTCTTAAAGACTGATTCCTCTGGAAATTAAACCTGATTCTACTTGCAATAGATCACAGGTACTAAAGATTTTGTTAATTTAAGCAAGAGGCCAAAAGCACCACTCAAAGGGTACTGTCACTCTAATGAAAGAGGTTTACAGCTCCCATTGTGGTACTCATACAGCACAGTACAGTGCATCGTAGTGCAAACTGCTACAGCGCATGTCTGCAGGCACTGTTTGCCTTATAGCTGTCTCCTCCCTTGTGAATTCTTCACATCCTTAACAGTAAGGTCTCTGTAGTCCAGTATCTGCAATTTGGAAGAAGGGAGGGGGGAACAGAAGATGTACAAGCCTTTATTTAGCTTGTTCTCCCTCCCTTCTGCTCCTCTGAGGAACAGTGCACGTGTGTCTGGTCAGTCTCCCCTGCAAAGGTATGTCAGAATCTATGACTTTTATTGTCTATTGTGTCAAACAGGTCTCTCACACCACCGCCGCCATTCCAAACCATGAAATTAAGCAACTGGTACGTGGGAGTGACTGGGCACATGCCAAGATAAATCACTTGTAGTTTCTTCTTCATAGACATGTGAAGTATTAACCATGCATCATGTATTCTAATCAGAAGCCTTAAAAATACAGTTGGCTTTTTTAAAAAAAAAAAACTTCTTGGTTGTGAAGGTGAATTTTTGGTCCTGAAAATAATTGGTTCTCCAATTTCGCATCCTGAATCAATTGTGGGAGCGAGCAAGTAGCGGAATATCTAAATATAGAATCTTAGAAGAATCATAGGGCTAGAAGAGACTTTGAGAGGTAATCTAGTCCAGTCCCCTGCGCTTGTGTCAGGACTAAGCACCATTGACCATTCCTGACTGGTGTTTGTCTAAACTGCTCTTAAAAATCTCCAGTGATGAAGATTCCACAACCTCCCTAGGCAATTTATTCAAGAGTTTAACCACCTGACAGGAAGTTTTTCCTAATGTCCAACCTAAACCTTCTTTGATGCAATTTAAGCCCACCGCTTTTTGTCCTATCCACAAAGGTTAAGGAGAACAATGTTTCTCAATCTTCCTTCTAACAACCTTTTATGTATTTGAAAGCTGTTATCATGTCCCCCCTCAGTCTTCTCCTTTACAAACTAAAGCCCAATTCTTTCAGCCTTTCCCATAGGTCATATTTTCTAGACCTTTAATATTTTTTCTTGTCTTCTCTGGACTTTTTCCAACATGTCAACATCTTTCCTGAAATATAGGGCCCAGAATTGGACACAATATTCCAGTCGATGCCTAATCAGTTCAGAGTAGAGCAGAAGAATTACTCCTCATGTCTTGCTTATAACACTCCTGTGAATACATCCCAGAATGATGGATGGATATTTGTTTGTTTTTTGCAACAGTATCACACTCTTCATTCATATTTATCTTGTGGTCCACTATGACTCCCAGATTTTTCCTCAGCTCTCTTTCATAGGCAGTCATTTCCCATTTTGTATTTGTGCAACTGATTGTTTCTTTCTAAGTGGAGTACTTTGCATGTGCTTATTGAATTTCGTTCTATTTACTTCATATCATTTCTCCAATTCGTCCAGATTATTTTGAATTATAATCCTATCTTCCAAAGCACTTGTAACCCCCTACCAGATTAATATTGTCCACAGACTTTATAAGGTACTTTCTATACCATTATTTAAATCACCGATGAAAACATTGATCAGAATTGGACCCAGAATGGATACCTGTGGGACCCGACTCGTTACGCCCTTACAGCATGACTGTGAACCATTGATTACTACTAAACCCAGATAGAGGTCTTTTGTAAATATCAGGTCTAAAATATGAATTGTTTTGTCTGAGTAAGTGTAGTTTTAAAATCTGGAGTGCCCCACTGTTGCCTGCATTTATACTTGATTTGATTTAGAAGTGGAGCAGTAGTCTTGAGATTACATGGAGGGGGTAAAACAAACACTTCTTGCAAAAGTTCAATTTCTTTCAACGAAATTTAAAAGAAACATTTCAGAGCATCTCTAATTATCTTAAATGTAAAAAGTGACTAATGGAGAGATATTCGGACACCATGTAATGACACAATATAAACTACTATTGGTTCATTTACATTATAATTAGATGTTTGTTTATAAATGCATACACTGGAGATTAGAGGCCACACTAGAGCTGAACTCTCTGGAACATGGATGGGGAACCATTTTTTTTTCTCTCTCAAACCCATTGACCCACAAGATATAAACAGTGGCGGGTCATTCACTTGTGGGAGTGTTTGCAGCTCTTGCCCCACAGTCCATATCAGACTGAATGAAAATAAGCTAGGGGCTGGATCTGGCCTGCATCCATAGGTTCTGCACTCCTATTATAGGGAATGCTTAAACATATGTGACCTTTTCCAGTCAGCATAATCATTCAGACCCTATAGTTCCTTAATCTGGTAATTCCAGAATTTGCCCATCATTAAACTACATCTCAGATTAGGGTTGCCAGATGGTTTCAACAAAAATACTGGACACACTTGACATTACATCACAATCTACATTACATCTGATTGAGAAAATACCGGAGATTTATATTTTCTCAATTTGTTTCACGAACAGAAAGCTCAAATACTAGACTGTCAGGTTCAAAACCGGATACCTGGCAACCGTATTTCAGATTGAGGTCTCATTAATACAAGGGCATTGTATGTCAGAATAAATATAGCCACTGATTTGCATAAATTGATCATTACTGTACTGAAATGTTGCCGCTCATGGGAAGCAAATAAATCATTGCCAGAACTGATGCTCTCCTGTCTCTCCAAATAAAGCAGCCAGTGGTAGTCCGTGTTGCCATGAGGTGACTGGAATGGTTTATGGTACTTGTGTAAATGACCACGTTGTTTCCTTTATGAAGGACATGAACGCTCTGAAACGCAGACTCTTGTTTCTCTTGCAGTGACTTTGATTGACACTTAGAGAATTTATGGACCCAGTCAAGGCTGTCTTACACTGTAACTACTAAAAATGAATATTCTGAGTCTCTCTAAGCTGCCTTCTGTGTCTTTCCTCCACTGCCACCTTGTCTCTGCTGCTTCCCTTGTGCTCTTTCTTGGTTTGCATTAGCTGCACCACAGAAAGAATGGCTTTAATCTCAAGTTCTTGTCCATTAGCTCCAGGCACTGAAATCCCATCACTCTATTTTGATGTGTTGCTGGTGCAAAAAAGAAACTGGAGGACAAATACTACTAGGGTGATCCAATTGTTAAGAACACCCGGATGGTTAGGTCAACCAGTGCTCCTGCAAATGATGGTGCTAAATTGTCCAATGTCAGTTCCAGGCAACACCCTATGTTCCTATTCTCTCCTCCCTTTTCAGTGCTTTCTGCCATTGTTGCTTTTTCACTTCATTAAAACATTCACGTGTGTCACCTGCTTGCACAAGTCAGAGAAGAGAGCATTGAAAGAGTCTGCTGTTCCCCTGGAGGGAGTAAATGTATTGCCAAGTGCACAGGTCTCCCTGGGGTTTTAGTTACCAATACAGGTAACTTTCTAGGGAAGTAGTGTCCAAGAGCCATTGTTACAAGTATTCTACTCACAAGACTCCTCCTGAATGATCGAAGTTCAGTTGGTAAACTTTACAAATACTGCATGTGACAGGGCATTAGCCCTGCACTGGCCCTTTAAGGGCAAACCCCAGCCTGAAGCAGGGCTGGGGAGTTTAGCCCCTAAAGGACCAGTGCAGGGCTAACGCCCTGTGTCACTGCAGTACTCTGGGCAGCATATAGCTAGCATGTGGAATTCCTTGTCGCAAAAATTGAAGAGCTTAAATACATAAATGAATGGATATAATTGAGGCAACTTAACTTATGACCTCACAAAGACCTTCAAGCAGTGGTTGAGATCCTCATTTCCCTGCCTTTCCTTTCTGTCCTTGGCACAAGTTCATCCTGGGAGTGGATTCTCCTGGCTCTATAAAATAAGATATGCTGTACTCAAGGTAATCAGTCATACTGGCGTTCTAGAATCGTCGCAGCTCCTGCCTTTAAATAAGAGTGTGAAGACAAGGATGTGCACACTGTATGTATGTGTGTATATACATTTATTTTTTTTGGAATACATATCTGGGTTTCTGACTTTCACTACTTTGTGATAATGCAAGATTTGGCTTCCCCTGTCCATGCTATTGTGTGTGAGAAACCAAATAGCTGACTGGACAATTAGGCTCAAAAGGTCACCCTGAAGGAAACCACAAAACCAGGCTTTCTTTTGGCCTGTCTTTATTGGTTCCACTGTTACTATACAGCCCTTAAGGCAGGGATGGGCAAAATATTGCCCGCAGGCTGATCTGGCTCACCATGGTCCAACAGGCTCCCCAGACAGGCAACGCATACCTCTCATAGCGGCCTGCTGCTGGGGCCAGTGTGTGTCTCACTACCCTGCAAATGATGGTGCTAAATTGTCCAATGTCAGTTCCAGGCAACACCCTATGTTCCTATTCTCTCCTCCCTTTTCAGTGCTTTCTGCCATTGTTGCTTTTTCACTTCATTAAAACATTCACGTGTGTCACCTGCTTGCACAAGTCAGAGAAGAGAGCATTGAAAGAGTCTGCTGTTCCCCTGGAGGGAGTAAATGTATTGCCAAGTGCACAGGTCTCCCTGGGGTTTTAGTTACCAATACAGGTAACTTTCTAGGGAAGTAGTGTCCAAGAGCCATTGTTACAAGTATTCTACTCACAAGACTCCTCCTGAATGATCGAAGTTCAGTTGGTAAACTTTACAAATAC